TAAAAAATAAAAAATAAATACTTTATTGTATCGCTCTATTTCTTGAAACGTCCATATTCATTAAAAAGTTCATAAATATTTATCTATTTATCATTACGCCTGTCAGTAGTATACCAGTACAACAACGATGTTTATCATTATAATTGATAGATGTCGCACCAATTGCCGACACTTTCTCGTTAGTCCTCGATGTACATAACAGTTTCTATATAACACAAATCTCAAGCAAACATACCGGGTGAGGTCCGAGGCGTCGACAATAAGAAGAACTGTTTGTATGAGAGCACCCTTTCCTCTGTCACTCTATCTTTCCCTTCTCTTTAATTATACGGTATGATGCGTAAATTTAGAATTCTATCTTCTATGCTTCATACAGTATTCTTACATGCATACGGAACCCCTGATATCCGTGTTCTGAATGGAGCGCCCAACCGTGGGTTTCGAATGGCAGTGTCCATTGGCCTGGGTTTACTGTGTTTAGGCGTTCAAGAAAAAAAGCAAAAGGGTGGACGGCGGGAGGCATTTGGCATATAAAAATTAAAAAACGCGAGTCCATCCTTTGAGACAAAAATATTATTTCCTATTGACTGCACGTCAAGTTTAAAGACACGTTTAAAAGGCTCTACGTTAGCTAGCATGAACGAGAATTTATGGGAATACGAAAGGGGGCAGGGGAGAGGGTACTTTACGTAAATAAGAGGGAATCCCCTCACAGACCTTAGAAAAATCTGTTCAATAATATTTGAGAAAAAATATATGCACATCGAATGAAGTATCCTGTTCGAAGTCGGATAAAAAACACAATGTCGACGCGACGATGACCTCACCCTTTTGTTCCTGTATTTTTTTAAATTTTATATTTCATCAGTTTTTTAACACATTCCTTATATCACTTTGATAAACATCTGCTAGTAGGGTACTAAAATGTTTACTAAAGTTACCATGACTTTTTAAAAATAAATCTTCAATTAAAAGAAAAGCGAAAAGCACAGAATTAATTTGTACCTCTAATATTTTAAATAACCAACAAGATTTCAACAAATAAAATAATTTTCTGTTATACCTCAGATTATTAAAATAAAAATTATTTTACTAAAAGTATATAGCATACAGCTTTTTTTTATTCTATCAAACTCTGGCACATTTATATAAATATATAGGGTGTCTTAGAATTTTGTTCACTAGTGTATGTTCAGACACAATGAATGAACGGCGCCGTAGGAGTTCTCGAAACGAATTCTGTCGGCGTTATTTCTGTGAAATCCTGCGAACAGAATTTTCTTAACACAAAAGCCCAGCTGAATCGATGAGAATTTTAATCACGGAACGGGTTAACGAGTTCTGCGGTCGGCTAGAAGAGCGGTGGCCAAAATCTTTCGACACGGAGTCAGGTGGTTGGAATCGTAATTCCATCGAGGGTGCTGCGTTTGACACCATAAGGGTAGCGAGGTGTCACAAAACTTTTCGATGCTGTAGCATCCTGGAACGAATTGTCCTTCTTTCAGTATCCGACCTTAGGTCTGACGCCTCGTTATCGAACAGACGTCGCAATAATGAGGATGTAATTTCTCCTGAAAAATTATTGGCTAGGTTAGCCCTGAAACCGCCCTTTCGTCACTGCTTTTCCCTAATAGGGTGTTTTGAAATTGTAGGTGCGAAATTGATGGGTAGACAAAATTTGGAAAATTGTTATTTTCTGATTGTGATTGACAGGATTCCAATCTGTTTTTGAAATCTCAGCAGGGGTTTTCAGAATTGTTATTATTAAACTATGTGATTCTATACTGTCAAAGTTTTAGGTATATATTTATTTACGTTCAGATGAGATTAGAAATTTTTTGAAGGAAAATAAATGAGTACCATAATAATACTTTACACTTATATTTCCTTGGTAACTTTTCCTTGAAAAGTAACTTTTCACATCAGAATCTATTATTCTTTTTTTTTTTATTAAACACTAATTATAAAATTTACAAATTTAAGCTAATTTAAGCCAATTAAAAAATTTTATCTTTGGATAGGAGGACACCTTACCCTTTACTTATGATTTAAAAACACCAATAATTAAAAAATTAAGTATGTTAAATTAGAAGAGCTATTGTGGTCACAAAATATTTAACTATCATAGTATTTTTTTTAAATTTGAAATTCACAAGAAGTTCCAATTATAATTCTAGTTTATCACCAAATATCATTATGAAAATAAAAATAAAAGAAAGCTGTATAAGGACCATATTTTCGTATTTTCAAACTGAAGCATCGTAAAAGGTTGCAGACGGCACGAATTTTACCTGAAACGGATATTGGCTACAATTTCGAAAATTCGACCATTTTTGGTCACGCCCCGTGCTCGGTCAAATCTGTCCCACGAATTCTCTGCTCTCTGTTCTTGTAGCCATGCTTGTTGCCATTTCCACAAATTTTACCATTGTAATCCTTTGTCGTGTTCCATTCTTGCCGCTAATTCGATTACACGGAACGTTGAAACGTATGTCCGGCTGACAGCGAATCGAATTTCAGTAAAATCTTTATTGACAGCAAAGGTGTATGTGCTTACATTGTTTCACTTTTATCTTCAATATAAAAGTGCTTTTTTGTTTTCTTTGGTCAGTTGTGTCGGTTTAATAAAGAAGATGTTGTAGGTGTATTGGTAAGGTGTTAACCCGTTACCTTCAAGACTGAGTGGTTCAATTACCTTTGGAAGATATTCAAAAATTTACAATGGATTAAAAATGTACTTGCACATTCTTTAAAGTAAATGTTAAAAATTAAAGATTTCTACAACTTTTTGCCGAAATGAATAATAGAAATAATAGAAAACAAAGAGGATCACACTATTAAAAACATATATCTACAATTTCATTTTGAAATACACATTTCTTATATATTTTCTAAACGTTATATTATTTTGTTCTCACCCATTTGTGTTTATATTTCTTTCAAGAGAATTTCTGGAACTCATGTCAGTCTGAATTATAATTACATATTCGTACCATGTAATGTATACAGTAGCAGAGTGTTGTTTTCACACATAAACTAGTTTAAATGCCATAAGTAATCTCCGATAGTGTGATCGGGCCTTAGCGTCCATATACAAATATATGTATCTTGTTTACATCAGAGGCATTTAGGTCAGCTTATAATCAGTTCAGTTCAAATCCAGTATTCAAACTACTCTCATGTTGTACTCTGTGCTGAAACAAATTTTGATAAAATTTTAATAAAACATGGTGCCATGTGATTGTTGTTTAATCTGTCGAAGAAATGACAATATAAATTTAATTTAATTTTAATTGCAGTAGCATTGGATTGTTTTCATAGGTCTGGGCCACAATTGACCCAGCTCCACCCTTGCAAGAGAAAGAAGGTTCCTTTTTTAATTTAATCTAATTTAAGGGTTATTTGCATTTCGATATAATCGAGAGGAGAAATCTCGCGGTCTCTTTCAACTGTTATCCAGAATATCAAACTGTGGCACGTGTCCATCCAAGAAGTAATTAATGATCGCTAATTATCGGGCATCTGGGATTGAAAGGAATTCTTATTTACTGCAGAAAGGTGGATGTCCATTTGTGGAAAGAGAGAAACAAGAAAAACATGCTAACGAATTCTATTGTGAGACACGTGCCGCTGTCCGCCCACGCTTTTCGAAACAGAAAATCTTTTTTCTTTCTTTCTCTTGCCAATATAATAAATGGAAAAAGGGTTACCGATCACTGTCGCCCCTTTTTCCAGTTTCCGCTTTGTTCATGGTATTTTTCATCTGGAATGAATTTTCGTGCCAATTTTCCTAACGCTTTTGTGACTTTGATGTTCAGCCCTTCGTTGCATGATCTTTTTTTTTAATTTTGAAAAGAAATGCAAACAATAAAAAATATTTTTGTATTTTCAAAATTCATAATCATGAACGTTATAAATGTTATAAATAATTGTCTGATTTAAAGGTAATTGAATTAAGAAAAAATAAGATTAATTTTTTGATGTGGGCATGATATACTTTATTTACAATATTTTACATTAACATCAAATTTTTCAGACCTTTTCATAAAATCATTAAATAATTACACAAAACTGTTGCTACTTAATATCTAATTTTTTCTATTCTTTTAAGCTACTTAAATAGTTATCACTTAGATTAATCATAATTATCATTCTTTGGCTTCATATAAATATAAATGGACGGTTTACAATTGATTTAAAAATTATGAATTATAAGTTGCTTTACAAATATTCATGACTAGCTATAAAATATATAAATAATACATTGACACTATCTCTAACGATGAAGCTCTATTAAATATTTAAAAGATCAAAGTACACAGCTGTAAGTGAAAAGACATTATTCTACAAAGCTTTTGATTATCATAATTTTAATTACGACGATATCAGATTCAATTACACTTAGAATTGATTATAATATTATTAGAGCATTCTTCATCCTCATTTATAAATTCATAAATTATTAAATACAGGTGCAGATAATTAAAAAATATTTTAATTAAGAATATCATACTAATGAAAGTTGTGAAAACAATGGATCCTAAAACATTAGAACAATATAATGGCACTAAATATGTTTAAATTGTATTTTTCAATTCTTGTGCATCTCATTAATTAAATACATACAATATTAATCAATAATACATGCAATAAATTTTTCTAGTACATAATATCAAAATTACCTAGAATGCAATAATTCACACTAGATTGCAAATAATTTGCTAATCTAACGCATATTTAATGCTATAAAATATTTCTTTGGATCATTAGCCGTCTTTACCTTTATACGATTTTTAAATAAAAAATAAGTATAAATTACAAGCAAATTAATTTTCATTAGCACACACAAAACTCACTGAAAATTAATTAAAATAAACACATAGTTGAACAATTGAGTTATAATAATACCTTTTTTTTTGCGCTCTTATATTTAAAGTTCGAGATACACTACTTAACATATTATTAGTAACAATTGTATTTAAAGTAATATCAACTTTCAGATGATGATGGCCGGCTCTTTCTTGACAGTATCAGTTTTTAAACAAAAGGGAAATAGTATAAAATGTAAAATTTAGAAATATAAAATTAAATTTAAATCGTCATTGCCATTCTTTTCGAGGCTGTAAAAATTAATAAACATTTAAAAAGGGCACAGGTGAGTACCAAAATGTCACATACTACCCATAAGATAATTACCTATTAAATTTCTTATCTACATAAATACTACCTTCTAATATCATTTAATTAACATTTTTGTAATAATCTCACACAAGCATTTATTGCCACTTCTCGTCGTGTCTCTGTAGAAGATCACACAAAGCGGCGATGTATGTTTGTGCCATTTGAAGAGTTTCGAATTTACTCAATTTGTGATCTGCTCCAAGACTTGGTACAACTTCGCGTAATTTATCAAAAGCATCGTTTAATCCATTCATACGACGTCTTTCACGAGCATTCGCCGCGAGACGCCGACGCTTTAATACGCTTGGTGATGGTGGTATGTCTCTGGAACGTCGTCTTCCTCTTCGAGGGCTATTGGTTGGTGATACCTGTTTCTGGAAAAGGAGCATTAATATTTTTTCCTTTTTAATTAAACTACATATGACTTTTTACATAAATCAGTCTTTTGAAACACTTACTAATGAAATGAAATCAGTTTTAAACATGTAATATTTAAAATTTTTTAAACAAAAACCATGTATTTTTTTTTTTAAATATCCTTTAATATCTTGTCAATATTGCAAATAATATCTTAGAAGTTTGAAAAAGCATCGATCTTAGTGTGTGACAACATCTCACGGATGTCAGATGATAAATTAAAGATTGTAACTGCTGATCAAATGATTTATGACACGAGTATTGAATACCTTTAACCGTTTGACGCAGACCTTTATGCATTTTTCCTAACCCTTCTAACTATTCTTTTACTTTATTCTACCAGGAATGATTGGATAATTCTATTCGTGTATCCTCATCAAGTGAAACTGCAACTTCGTTTAAAATTTGATAACTTTCGAAAATTTTATAGAAAAATATTTCAAGTTCTTTTAAATTCAAGAAATGAAAAATTATTTTCTTTTAGTTGGACTTAGGAAATACTAACGCTCTCCTAGCACAATACTAGCGCTATACTAACGCTCTACTAGTACAGTACTAGAAGTTTATTAACATTTTACCAACACTATACTAATTACATGGAAAATGAGTATAACATTCTGAAGTAATATTTTCTTAATGTTCCCATAATTATACCAATAAATATTTGTCAAGTAGACAAGTTAGTCATTCTATGTCGTAACTCACCTGTGCAGACGTAACAGGTTCCCAACAGTTTCTTCGTTGTTCAATGTTCATTCGCATTGGTTTCTCGGTTTGGAGGATTTGAAACTTCTGTTCCTGAGGTGGTGTTTCGTAACAGTAAGCCGGTGAGTGATATTCCAAGGAACTGTCTTCGTGTAGTATCGAACTTGGTGAAGCTGTGTGACTTATCACGTGTTGAGGCTCGTATCTGTTGAGTACACGCTGATCTTAAAGGTCCTAATCGTTTATAGCATTTTATATATACAAAGTAGTAGTGCAAAAATTTCAACAAATAACGACTAAATATGTACGATAGTGATTTCGTGATAGTGCACCCAGGAAAATGAGTTAATATCTGTTGATTTATTTGGTAACATAGAAGGTCTGAAAAAATTTCATGACAGAAAAGTATTACAAAATAACGCTTATGGCATATTAATTTAAAACTTAATGCTTGAAGAAAATAACTATATAATATTTTCGTCGATATTCTTAATACAAATTGAATAATTCTTTATTGGGACAAATAATTTTCATTTTTTTATCTTTTATATTCCAACGAAGAATCAACCATTTTGTATTCAGATTAATAATGAAACCTTTATATGGTTATTTTCCTCAAGCTTTAAATTGATGTACCATAAGTATCATTTGGTGATAGTTTTATGTCATGAATTTGCACCAAACTACTTCCTACGTTTCCAAATCTTGAGCTTACCTTTGCGGGGTTACAGGTGTCAAAACACTGAAAGAACTTCTTTCGTACGAATCTGGAGTTCTCGAATATTTCACGACTACTTCTTTCTCATAACCGATCGTTTCACTTTCTTTTCGCGGAGTTAATTCACCTTTATTCCCGTAATTTTCTGCGTAGGGAACTTTAATGGAGTCATAATCAGGGGAATTGTATGGAGAAGGATATAATGTATCATAGGTTCTTGTTGTAGTAGGATATGTGTTAGTTATTATTTCAGTGGAAATTGGATAATCTTGATGATTTGACAAAAGAGCCATCCTTTATTGAAATAAATCACTTTGTTTCCTTCCACCAATTCAACTTTAATTAAAAAACTTCTTCACACTTTTCAAACTTTTCATTAAATTTTAAATATTTTTTTTAATTGTTGTTTGCGTCAATGACCCTTTAAAATCATATTGAGATTTTGAAAATGATCAAAAAAATAATAGCTAATACAAATATTAGAAATTATCAATTTAAACAAATTTTTGAATAAAATTTCAAGTTGAATCCTTCTGAATCCTTAGATCATAATTGCACAGCAGTACTAACACTTAGTTCCTCGATGATCATTATTTTGCTATTCTTATCACTGGTCCCAGTTCTTCTAAAACAACCACACAAAATATGAAATTTCATCAGAACTCTTAATTTTTCACTTTCAATCACAAACTCTGCTCATCTGCATGTCACAGCAAATATGAAGAGTACAATTCAGGCAACACATTGTTGAAGTGTACAATTGAAACATCACTATCAATGTTGATATTAATTTCAAACTTTTTAGAATTCTAATCAGCTCGTGGTCACTTAGAAGTAATTACATTAGGACGAGTGTCATTACTGGTATGATAGCGAAGAAACAATAGAATAAAGTCAGTGATCCTCGCGGTGTAAAGGCTGAAGTATGAGTGTGGCGCGTGCCGCAGCGTCCTTCAGCACATCAACATATGGTTCCCATTTCGTTTCATGTCCATTCTATAGTTGCACCTGGTGGGCCCATCCTGGACTCCTTCTGTACCTACCCTCTCTTCTTTTTCTTCTTCTTCATCGGCGCTACTTTATCCTGTTGAAAGCTACCGCCGCCACCGTCGTTACTTTTTTTCTTTTCGTCCTTTCTTATCGTACCTTATCTGCTCGGCTTACACAGAAGCTGAACACTTCCTGAAGAACGGGGAGAGTTAGTACCTGTTGATTTAGATAGCGCGGACCAAGGAGGGAGTACCTGTTGTTGATTTAAATTCCGTTAGAAGAGGTGGAAGGGGTTGATTAAAGGGAGAATCTTTGGGAAAATTTAAAGGGTTCCAGGTTTGTCGCTGAAGAGTGAGATTTTCATATTTTTGTAGGAGGGTATAGAGGTTGGAATTATGTTATTTGAAAAATGTTAGATTTAATATTTTAATATTATAATTTTGCAGAATTCTAATATTCCAAAATTTAATATTTCAAAATTGTAATACTCCAGGATTCCAATATTCCAATACTTCAACCACTTATTCAACTATTTTATTATTCCAAAATTTTTACTATTTAATCGAAACTAACGTTTTCTAACCATTTCTCGACCCCCGAAGATATAAAAAATTTTTAACTACGATCCAAGGGTGACGATATGTTCCATGCTGAAAATTTACTTCCAATTTCCGATTTTCCGCCCTTTGTCTCTTGTAAAGGAAACGCTTGGACAGACTTTCGCTGTTCTGTCAGTTCATTTCAGGGAAGTAGCAGATGCTTTTATAATAGAAGCTACGGAAATGTAATAACTGCATATAATATGCGTATCTTATTCGTGGTTGTAATAAAAAGAAGACACAAAGGAAGTGGAAACAATGAGGAGACAGTATCCTTTATGTAGATCAATGAATCTTAGTGTATGCAATATTCCATTCACCGACATGAAATATAAAAATGACTAATTAATGTTATGAATTGTTCGTACAAAATTATAACAACTAAAATTCTAATAATATACTTACTCTTCTGTTAATAAAATCAATCATTTCCTCTTAATATTTCCATACTAATTAAATGTTCCTAATTTCAATTGTTGAGTTATTGTAACATCAACGTAATGAAAGATGCTAATCGAATTTATCGTTAATGAAACGAGCAAAAAAGCTGTCGAAATGGAGGAAAATTAGCAAAATGCAACGGTTGTGTCTCGGGGCGAATCGCCTTGAGACAATTAAAGATATCCATCTCGCAGCGGTATCTACCCCTGTTAAGAAGGGGCCACTGGCACGGCGCGTGCCCTCAGCGAACGAGCAACTGGGACGCATGACGAAAGGAGCTGCAAGGTGTTACCCCGGCGAATGCTGGAGATTTTAGGATAAAGAGTGCCGACCAAGGGGGAAAAAACTGTCTCGGAAGCACTCAGACGTGAAGGCACACCGTCCTTCCGAGGATTGAAGTCCGTTAACCCAGGATAAGGAGGTAATTTTTTCAGGGCACTCTAATCGATGACAGAAAACGTTTATGGTGTCGATTTTCTTGCGGTGTCCTTTATTCAACCCGAGACACTTTCGACACCTTGTTTGCAGGTTGTGAGATTTTTTGGGATATTCTTTAACGAAAGTCTGTTAATAAGTTTTGGACTGAAAACCAATTAATAAATTTTTTATCATTAAGTTCTCCATTGTTCAGATGAAATAATAATTAGGGATGCTATAATTCAAAGGAAACAAATATAATAAATATAATATTTTTAGGTATTATTCAGTTATGAATCATAATTGACTTCTAAATCTTTGCAATTTTCATTTGTCACATATGGTCCTTAGGGTTCATTTCGTTGATGAAAATTCGTCATCGATGAATAAGCTCGTAAACTGTGACGAGTCGTTAACAAGTTTTTATCGAGGTTCGAATGACTTGTTCGATAGACACATTGGTGAACGAAAATCAATTAAGCCCAGGTGGGGCACGTGCCGAGTGTGTGATAGATTGGTGGTACCGTTTTCAGTGTCGACAATGTATTTCTCTGGAAAAGGAATCGTCTCTCGGGAACCATATGGTGTAGCAGGCGTATGATACCGACTCATTGTCAGTGCACGTGGAACATCAAATTCGTACCTTTTCTTCGTAAAATACAGGATTCGAAAATACAATTTCAAAGGAAGACACGATATGTACTTTTTCGTTCAACAGTTGTTGGTCGACTGCAAATATTTATACGTTTACATGTATGTCACAAATGAATATTTGAAATGAATAAATGAAGTTTTGATTTGCACAATAAAATATTACTTTTCAGTATTTCTCTAGAATATATTAAGAACAATTCTAACAAGACAACAATTACTCCGTTTTTATTTCATCTGTTTACACACATAAACGGACTTACAATTTGTGTTGTTCATATTAACAAGTATTTACTTGGTTCTGACGATTTGTCAAGAAACCTTCAAATTAACCCTTGTTAATTGTTCAGTAATTATTGAAATGAACATAAAACCGTACTATAAGAGAACGACCTACGTAGTACCTTAAAAAAATATTTAAGAAATGAATAATTTTTGTTTATAATTATATAACATAATTATATATTGATATCATATCTAATGTTTAAAATAGTATACAAAAAATTAAATAATTTAGTGATAATTCTCTTCCTGTAATCTAATGTTTGTAATACAAGAATAATATTTTATTAATGATTATAAATCTTACCGTACTGAAGTTCTCCATATTCAAAGTGTAAAGTTTACAAGCTGTTAATTTAGGAGTTGTTATACTTTTCAGTAGCATAATCCTTAAAAGTGTCCTAGTGTTAATGGATGACTGATACCATTTATTATTTGTTCTGAAAATTGCAATTCTTAACAGAAATTCCTTAGCAAATATTTTATTAATTACTTATCTATCCGTTAGATGTGTTAAGAAATGAAATTAAATAAATAAATAAAAATTCTAAATAAAAATAAAAATTCTTACGTATGTTCAAAAATTCGTTCAGTATAATCTATTAATCGTTGTCCTGGCCAACTGACGAACAAAAGATCGCATAGCAAACTAATAGTAAGTGAGACATACTGGAGTGCCTTGTTAGGAGCACTTAAATGTACAATCGCCTGATTATAAGAAAATATAAAAATTTATAATAAATAACAACGAATCATTGACGAATTTGAAAAAATTGAAACTGACCTGAAATTGAGTGAAGCTTACACAAATCATGTTGAATCCTAATTGGAAGAAGTAAGACATTGTGTTGGCGTTTTCAATGATGTCAGCGAATCTTTGTTAATTTGGAAAGATTGTTAATGGAATAATACAATATAAATAGAGAAGGATCTGAAATAGTTGATACTAACTCGATTATATGTTTGTGTAACTTCACACAGCTCTTTGCATTTTGGTACCACATGTCTTCCTGTTTGTCTGGATGCAGGTCTATGTCCATACTGTCAGTTTCTACACAATTTTCCAGTTTATATCTATAATAATAATTATATTAATACAGGGCCGGCTCAAAGAATTATTGGTCCCATGGAAAAATCATTTTGGGGCCCTCTTTTATATATGATTATAAACATAAAAAAATATTTGAATCCCGTCGTGTCAATGATTCATAAGGGGATTAACCAATTTATTTATTTATATATTTATTGCAATATGAAAAATTACCTAAGAATTTCACAAAGTCCGCACTCGTGTATCACGAAGATGATTATTACCGAGTCGACGGCCACTACTATTGCGGCGTATGCAATTGTACCAATGTACGAGTGCACCAGAAGTATATAATAATATTTGTCCACATCCACGAAATGTTCGATACGAAAAGTTAGCGGTCGTTCTCCGTTAAGGTTGTAAAGTCCTAAAGCGTCAGCTGCGTTCAGGATACACGACATCCCCGCGAATGGTGTTATCATACCGAATAATAGCCCTATGGTTATTAATCTCAACTTATTTCTTTGCTTTATTTTTTTAATATACTTAAATGTAGAAAAGTAAAAGGACTTGGGATAAGTTTAGAAAATATTAACACTTTGCCGTCGGATAACGTAGTAGTACGTCTTTTCAAGAATAAAAGGTGAGAATGGTTGACGTAGTAATACGTCTTTTTCAAAATAAGAACTGAGAGCGGTTGACATCATAGTACGTCAAGACTGTAAATCATATAATTATGGTTCTTAGAATCAAAGGGGTACAAATGGCATAATTTTTTTTCTTTAATTACAGTATTTCCAAACATGTCACTTACATCCCTTTAGTTCCAAGTATCTCAATTACAAACCTTTTTATTACTACTACTATTGACAAGGTGGAAAATATGGCAATTCTTATCAAATTATTATGCCTAATTAAATATTTTAGGTAAATGAATATTCTATTTACTAAATGCAATATTTCCATGAAATAATCTCACCTCCAAAATTGGTAACAATTCTATTTCCCTCTGCATATTGTTGACGAATAATATCGTATTCTTTGTCAAATTTTTTATAAATTTTCCAATCTTCTTGCATTATATCCAATAAACGTTTCATCTGTACAGAACGTTTGGTTTGATTTAATATAAACAATGATATGTACGCCGATAAAAACGTTAATGTACCTGATCGTAATTGTATATAAAATTGATATACTTAGCAAGACACATCAAACTAATTATAAAAGGTGCAAAACCTTCTAGAAAGGACTCCGTATCACTGGCGACAGAGGCAGCCACCAAACCGCCGCCCTAAAAACTCAACAGACCAATATTACAAAAAATCTTTTGCAAAGAAACATTAAGAAATAATTTCTTTCTTTTTTAATCTTGATAGTTTCAAAACCTCAATGACTGTTCAATTTCATATTTTTTTTATACCTAACAAAATTATTGATGGAAATTTATATTTGAGAACTTTGTTTACGGTATTCTGAGAAATTAATAATTTTCATTGGCGTAAAAATTTCAAATCCTAAAATCTTCAAATCCTCATATTCTGAAATCCACCAAATTCTTAAATTTTAAAGCTCCAAGACTCCAAAAAATCTAGAATTACGAGGATCTGTTCCATCTCACAAAAAAGTCTTAGTTACGCCATTAAAGTATTAACTTACATAAAATATAACTATTCATTTTAATAGCAGAAATGAAAAATTAAATACAAACTATTAGAGAATGTTTATGGAAGTGTAAATATATATACGTTTCACAAAGTTGCAGTACCTGAAGAATCACTTGAGTAGCAATAATTGGAATATAAATAATTCTAACAAGAAACTTTTGCAAGAAAGTTTGATAGGGCCAGAGGCCAATAATACACAAGTAATATTTACAATTTCGTAAATACTTATATTGAGCACTATCCATTCTGATATTTTTACGATGATTCCTTCTGAAAGACTGGCTTCACAATTCTTTGTACAAATCATCGATGTCGTTCTCGAAGCAGATGGTATAATATCATTAAATATTCCGTTTGGAGAGTAGTATAATTGTGCAATAGACATAATTACAGAAAATTGATTTATTTAATTATTTAAACAGACTGCTGCATAAAAATGGTGAAAATATAGTTGATAATCTGTTAAAACGATGAACTTAATTTTGTAAATTAAGCTCTTTGAGATTTTGTCATTTATGCATATGAAATCAAAGGTAAAGGGAAGTATTTGATATTCTCTTTAAACTGACGATATAAGAAAAGGGTTCATCTGATAAATGAATAGCAATTATGACATTTTGTGCAAAATTACTTTATTATAAAAACGAATCAGTGAGTTGAACAGTAGGTACAAGTCCAAAAAGCACATTTTGAAACATGTACTTGAAATATAGCCATAGTTTTTGGGTCGACATTAATTATAATTATATAATTAATTCATCATATAATCGTACAATGACATATTTTCTTCTATTATTGTTTTTTGAGGATCGAAAATTCCTCCCACCCTAAATGTTAAAGGAATACTAAAGCGACGCGCAAAGGCCGCTACCTTTTTACTTGAACATGCGCAGTAGACATGCGCAACAGACATGCGCAGTAAGCATGCGCAGAAGTCTTCTTTTCCTTGTCCAATCCGATATTGTTACGCCATTTTAAATATATGTTGAATTTACGGCTCTGATAATTTTTGTAAACTAGTTATTTTAAATATTTCTTAACAATTCACAATTGTATTCTATACAATATTATAATTATTTGACTATATACAAGGCACTATGCATGCTACAATTTAAAAAATTGTAAAAAACCTTCCCCCGCCGAAAACGGCACAGGTGGCGCCATTTAGCAGAAAACTAAGGAAGCAACAACATAAAAAATCCTCCCGCAAACTTTTCCTTCTTCAGGCTCTCACCTTTTCCTGAACGCAATCCTAAGGAAATTGACAATGTATGGGAGGAGATCCCATACATATAGACCTGTGCCGCCCCACCACTTGCGTATAAACGTTTACGCAGAAGAATTTAAATTAACATTCACTTTGTTCCTTGTACTTTTTAATTATATATTAAATTATATGTATAAAAATCAAGTTTCTATATTAATATAAATTCATATATTTACAAGTCACATTTTATTTGTAAAATATTAACAGTGTTTTTAGAATATATAAAAGATCTTATACTATGAAGGAAGTTAATAATTTACTAAATGCTCTGAATAATTACAGTACAAATTTATACATGTTGATATAACATGAACATTTAACAAACCATTGGTTCTGGTTTAGGTTCTGTAAGTTCTACATCTCTGCATTTAGCATGTTGTAATTCTCTTCGTACTTCAGGTGTAATTGAATGATGAGATTGCTTTCTTAATAGTCCCAGCAAAGCTTCTCTTTGTTCAGAACTAATATCACCTTTGTAACGTTGTACGAAAACTAATAATGATTGATGCCATAAAACTGGCAGTTCTCTAGGGTCCCTTTCAAATCTATAAGTAAACATTATTATTAGATTAGAATCTTTACGAAAAATATTATGTAATTTAAATGAAATATAACTTTTACCTAATAAAATGAAATACAACAGCATCTATAACCCTATATGGTAGAGCATACTTTTTATCAAAAAATATTCTAAGAAAGATACTATTTGCTCCAGTGTAATCCATTTCTGCAATTTTCAACATTGCTGCTGAAGAGTGTAAAATTGGTATCGAATTTTTTGCAATTACAGATCCAATGATGACAGCCTCTCTTAATGTACATGTTCCAGACTCTAAAAGTGGAAGTAAAATTCCTTTCATAAAACCAGCAGGTTTGAATAATGCTTTACGCAATGCTTGATACAAATGAAAATTCAGTCTTTTATATTCTGCTATGTCATCCCTAATTCGAGGTAATAATACTAAATTATAAAATCTTTGTGCCATCTTTTCTTTAAGATTAGAAGCAAATATACGAGTAGCTTGGTACATTGCTGCAGCTGACCATTTTGTTGGATCTGTAATATATAATATTTGTTCCCAATTTTTTAAGCTGGGCACAATCTTAAATGCTTTGGGTAATTTTCCACTTCGATATTTTGACAAAACATCTCTGACTCCTTCATACATTGCTTTAACTCTTGGATCTAAATCTTGCATCTGCATAGAACCTACATCTGAAAACTGAGTTTCAATTTCTGTTTTCTTCTCTGTTAATTTTTCCAGTATTATGTCAGCTAATGTTTTCATTGGTGTAGGATCTTTAGACATGAACATTTCTATAGCTCGCTCATCTTCTTCATTTATTTGAATATCCTCATAATAGTGTGAATCATCCAGTTCATCTTCGCTTGACTGTTCTTCTGTATCACTAAGCTCAGCTCCAAGTTTTACTAATGGTTTTCTTGTAGATTTTGATGTTGGTCTTATTCCACTTTCTTCTTCAATTTCTATCTGTTGCTGTCTGGCTTGTGATAAAATCCTTTTTGTAAGAGAAGGCTCCACGAACTGCATAATAATAAAAAACATAGTAAGTAAGCAGTAATGGAAAATAATTTTAAGAGTAATTATTCAGAATTATAAAATACAAATTTAACCTCTTCATCTGCATCATTGCGAATTCTGATCTTATTTCTGTTCTTTGATTTTACTGTTTTATCTTCTTCTATTTGATCTGCCAATCCAACTTTCGGAAGTTTTGTTTCACCTTTAGAAGGCTTTACCTTCTTCGCTTTTCCCATTTTGTTAGTTTAAAATACTGTAGAAACTTGACATGGACATGTGACATCAATTTAGCCCTAACCTTCTATTTCCTTCAAACTTTTTCAATCAGACCTAACTTAACATTCGGTTGTACCAAAGAGTAGATATAACAAGAGACGACACTCCCTTTGCAAATTTTAATATAGAAGCTATCATCTATCTAATGTTTAAAATATTTTATGAAAATTTCTCGTTATCCGAAACATAATCGAATAAATAATTTTAATAAATATTGCAAAGGGAAATTCTTATAAGGATGAGTGAAACCGTCTTTCTCTACAAGTAGTTTTTATGCCATAGTGTCCCCTTTTATTATACCTACTCTTTGGCTGTACTACAGCGCTGTAAACATTCTGCTCAATTTTAGCGGGAAGAATACTCTGAGAAGTATAATTGCGTTCGTTATCATATTACAAGAGATTGATTTATTTAGACAAAGAAGAGATCTAAATTAAATTTAAACCCAGTTTTAAAAATAAATTTATAAAAAATGCCGTCCAAGGTATTGAGAGATTATACAAAAGCCAGAGGTAAGTGTTTGTAGCCCAAGTGTAATTTAACCATTGAAATTTTTACACAAATGTACCGTACCTATTATATAGACTAATTTATTTTATATGCATTAAATTAGAACAATTGAAAACGTTCTTAACGGAGTTTATGGTAATGGATGACAGTTCTGGTGAAAAGGTATTTAAATATAGAAAGCAACTCACTAATATTGCTCATCGTGAACAAGTTGATATCACAATAGAATTAGATGATGTTCATGAATTTGATGACGAATTAGCAATATCTATTGCAAGTAATACACGAAGATATGTCAATTTACTTTTAGAGGTAAGTTTATATTTATTCTGTATATATAATTGCAGATATTTACACCTGATTTTTAATATAAACTTCGAAATAAAGAATGATACAAATAAAATCACATTACACAGCTTATTCAAGAGATGCTACCTGAATTTAAAGAGAGACCTGTACCCCCGAAAGATGCTTTAGATGTATATATTGAGCATAGATTATTAATGGAAAGCCGTAATATTCACCTTGGTGAGCAACATGATCCCAGAAATAAATATGCTCCAGAACTTATGAGACGTTTGTATGTTATTTTCACATTGATTTGTATATTATTGTTCTATAAGTTTAAATCTGCATTTGTAATGTTAAATAATTGAATATGTATTTCAGTGAAGTATATTTCAAAAATTTTGATGCAGCAAAAGACTATTCAGTGAGAGATATAAAAGCAGATAAAATAGGAAAATTAGTTACAGTACGGGGCATAGTAACAAGATGTAGTGATGTAATGCCACTACTCATTGTTGCTACATACACCTGTGACCAATGTGGTGCAGAAACATTTCAACCAGTAAGATATTAATGTTTTTATTTTTAATGTGGAATATGAGTTTATTAAGATTATTATTTTCAGGTACACTCTCTTAAATACATGCCATTAAAAACATGTCCTAGTGATGACTGCCGTATAAATAAATCTGGTGGAGTATTAGAGATGCAAACAAGAGGATCAAAATTTATAAAATTTCAAGAATTAAAAATACAAGAACATGTAAGTGTACAGAATATTAGTTGGTTCTATTTATTAGTAACAATTACCTTCGCTATTTCAGAGTGATCAAGTTCCTGTAGGCCACATTCCAAGAACACTGTCAGTATATTGTAGAGGTGAAGTAACAAGAAAGTGCTTACCTGGAGACCACATACTTGTTACAGGCATTTTTTTACCTATCATCAAATCTGGCTTCTCTACTCGAGCGGGCGCAGCTCTTTTGAACGAAACGTATATAGATGCACATGTACGAAACTGATGTTTTTTAATAATACTATAATTAATTAATTTTAATATTCGTGTTAGTTAAATATAAATATTTTTTCTGGTTCAGAGGATTACGTGCCTTACTAATTCTGACACAGTTGATGATAGTAGCGCTTTATTGACTACCGAAGAATTATCCATATTAATGGAAGATGATTTTTATAGCAAATTAGCTCAATCTATTGCTCCAGAAATATATGGACTTGAAGACGTTAAAAAAGCTTTGTTATTACTTCTAGTTGGTGGAACAGATAAACAAAAAGATGATATTAAGATCAGAGGTATGCCTTCTATTTATCTATGATTACAATATAACATGCACATTACTTTTTCGTACATATTATCTATAGGTAACATCAACATTTGCTTGATGGGTGATCCAGGAGTTGCCAAATCGCAGTTACTTTCATTCATAACAAGATTGGCTCCTCGTTCTCAGTATACAACTGGTAGAGGATCTTCTGGTGTAGGGTTAACTGCTTCAATTATGAAAGATCCTTTAACTGGGCAGATGATGCTCGAAGGAGGAGCTTTAGTACTCGCTGATCAAGGTGTGTGCTGCATCGACGAATTCGATAAAATGGCAGATGCAGATCGAACAGCTATTCACGAAGTGATGGAACAGCAGACTATATCAATTGCCAAAGCAGGCATTACAACTCGGTTAAATGCAAGAGTTTCAATCTTAGCTGCTGCAAATCCTGCGTACGGTAGATATAATCCAAAAAGGACGATCGAACAAAATATTCAATTACCTGCTGCTTTATTATCGCGATTTGACTTATTATGGTTAATTCAAGATCGAGCGGATCGTAATAATGATTTGAAGTTAGTATTTACACAAATATGTATTAACGTTTGCATAGATTATAACAACTAATGTAGGATACTCTTTTTAGATTGGCTCAACATATAACTTATGTTCATCAGCATTGTATACAACCCCCCACAGAATCGAATGTGTTGGATATGAATTTAATTAGGAAATATATTACTCTGTGCAAAACAAAACAGCCAGTTATTCCAGAAGACTTAACAACGTATTTAGTTGGTAAGGGATTTTATCATAATTTTTTAGACATAGAGTCTATTTTGTTGTATAATGTTATTAGTACATGTTACACAACTGTTATTTTTAGAATCCTATGTAGAAATGAGGAGAGCAGCTCGTAATAGTGAGGACAAAACCTTCACCTCTGCGCGTAATTTATTGGCATTACTGCGTTTATCAACTGCATTAGCTCGTCTAAGATTAGCAGACGTAGTTGAAAAAGACGACATCATCGAGGCGAATAGATTGATAGAAATGTCTAAACATTCTATTAATTATTCTGAAACGTTACAATCCAACGTACAGCAAAATCCAATGAATCGTATCTTCTATCTTATCAGAGATCTAGCAGGCGATAAGAAAACTATTAAAGTGTCGGAGATATTGGAACGATGTACCAGTAAAGGATTTAAACCCGATCAAGTTAATGATTGCATCGAAGAATACGAGGCATTGAACGTGTGGCAAGTGAATCAAACAAGAACACAAATAACATTTATTTAATCATTGTATGTGTATTTACCGTGACAATGTATAAAACAGTACTTTTTATACCTTGAATTTCAAAACTATTTTTATACATTTTTATCTACTGTTAGAAATAAACTTTATATTTGATTGCTACAAAGTTGTTTCATGCACTTCTACAAACTTTTTTAATCAACTGCATTGTCTGTTAATAATTTTATTTCATGTCGTAGTTAATTAATTAAAATAAAATTATACAAAAGGACAGTGGTCAGTGGCGGCACGCAACGTCTTCAAAGAACATTAAAGAGTGTCGTTCTGGTAGGTAAGTAGGCAAGGAAGATAGGTAAACAAGTAGATTCGAAGTTAGGCGGGAGAGGATGTAGAGTCGCGAACGAATCGGAGCGCGTGTAGCGGTGGTGGGGGAAAGTGCCGGTCGGTCGAATTGGAGAATACGCGGTGCCACTCTGAGCACTTCTTCAGTCGCATCGAGCTACTCGTGGAAGGCGCGTCGCGTTGTGCATGCATGCATGCTTGCGTGCGGTTAAACGTGCGTGCATGTGTGTGCTTATTATTGTGGTGTACCCAAAGTGGTCGAGTGTGCATGTGTGCGGGCCATAACACGGTGTCGCGCGGTCTCGATAGTGCATGTCGTGATTACTATAGTCATCGTCTCGCCTCTCCGTCCATCGTGATCACACCAAATGCACGAGTCGCGCTTCTCGAGATCTCACAGTAACAACACCCTTGCTCGTCATTGCTGTGTCGTTTGACAGCGCGGCCGATTCGAAGAACGAGAAGGAAAGGGGAAGTCGCGTCTCGTCCCGCGGTTGATGACTCTTCGAACGATCGTGCCGAATACGCGACGAAGGAGGAGGAAGAGAAATTGAATCGTCTCGTGTCGTCTAGCCCGTGCTCCGTTTTATTTTCTCGTCCCATTTTCTCCTCACTTTCGAGACGATTTACCGAACTTACCGGCCCTTTAAGCTCGTTTCTTCACGGTTTCTTTCTTTGTTATCGGTTCAATTTACCGACCGAACATTTTACCAACATGAAAATAACACAGAGGTATCGTCGTGCAATTCTGGCACCTGTGTCGATCGTGATATTATTATGCGGTTGCACCGATCTCGTGTCCTCTCGATCGCCGCGTTTCGCCGAACATCCAAAAAACGATACCGCATCGGTGTTCGCTGACTGTGAACGTGTGAAGCCTTTCTTCGACAGCAAGAATATCTCGATTGCAGCTGCGAAGCAAAACACACCGGAGGATGTGGCTAAAAGTAAGTGACCGTTTGCTTTGCTATTATTGAAACTTTATCGACAATTTTCGAACATCAAATCGCTCTTTACCGTTCCATAACTTTGCTTCGTGTTTGTGCTAAAATCTTATCAAAGTAAATCCGCTCGAATCGAATAAACAGTTTACGATTTAAATCGCCCGCGCTTATGAGCGATGATACCCTTGATGCAGAATTTCGGAAAGAATAAACGTCTGACGTCGAGAGAGTTTGATGCAGGGAACGAATTGGAAATCTTGATTATAACCGTTTCACACTAATTACGAAGTTTCATTTGGTAGTCCTCGAGAGTCGTCGTTACATTAAACGACACTTGATTCTATTGCATCAAATAGCATTTAAGTGCTTCTTGTAAAAATTTCTTCTCAATTGCCGTGAGAGCGATCAATTTTATATCATAGGTATCTTTTATGGTATACTTTCCGCCGATACCAAACCGATACCATTTATAGACCACCATTTTGTTGCGTATTTTATACAGTTTCCTTTAAAGACGAATTTATGGTACGTTTAAATAAACGTCGAGTCACGTTGAGAATCGTGTATTTTATAAAATTTTGTAAATAATATTATTGTATTTCTTATTTTTATTAAAAATATAATATTATACCATATTTTTTATTATTATATTTCTTGTTATTACTATAGTATATCGAATTTTTTCATTATACAATACCATGTACAATAAATTAGACGTTCATTTAATTCTTCTCTGGACGAAACTACGTAACGAACACGTACGGAACAGTTTAAAATTCGTTCGAAATTCCAGCGAAATTTTCCCCGGTAGCTTTGTTAGTCGGAGTTTACCGTGTATTGAGAATTCTGCACCATGACGAGAACCAATTGGTTAATTACGTGTATAAAGTTACGTTCTAGGGATTAATTAATTTTCTTAATTAACAATGCCGATGAACGCATTAGTATGAATAATTTCTATTGTTTTAAGGAAATTAGTTATAGATAATATTATTTTCTGTACTATCCTGGCGGTGCTTGTTGGTATTGATATGTGACATTTATTTTAATTAATTTCAGTTTCTAGTTGATCGATACGAACGAATATAAATCAGCCTCGTAATTAAGGTGCTCATTCTTATGCTGCTTCCGTTTCCATTTACACTGTTCCTTTAAAAATTATTCTGCCAATATATATGAAACACTTTCGTCTAAAAATGATACTTAGGAAATCGAAAGCAAGTATTTATTTTATTTGCAGGTATTAATGTATCATAACGCTAATGTAGAGTACGTGGCTATAATGTTATCAGTTTTCAAGACAAGCGTTTAATCTCGTTTTGATTTCCGCACACCTCGCGTAATCTTGTTCATTCCCATCGAACTTTGAATTATCTAAGCTTATCAGAGGTCGGCTGTTAATTGTTTTCGGCGTAATAAGGGGCGGTTTCGATCGCGGGAGAAAGTTGTCTCGTAAATAGAATTATTTACTAAACCGATCGCGTGACGATTTCTGATACGGGCTATTACCGGTCGCGAGAGGCTGAATGAACGAATACCTCTCTCCCTGAACGATCGTGTTCTAACCCACTTTACACGGTTGCAACTACTCGTCGAATCGAGGGCGAAGGGTCGCTGATGTAGCTTCCGGTTTTATGCGCTTCCCCGCGTCAAGTGTCGTACGTCACACCTAACTGCGAAAATGGAGAGAGATAATCGGTAGGGTTGAGTATCCGATTCGAGTACCGTGACGTTAATGTTCTTTATTTAAACGGATAAATCAATTTATAAAATCCACTTCATGATTTTCATTATTTTTTTTACAGTCGACTTATTATTAGGCGTAGAAATTAATTTGGTGCATATTCTTTGTTTTGATTGGAGATTTATTTTAAAGAAATTATGGTAACTTCAATTATTAAAATAATTGTCATTGAAGCGCGGGAAAATATTTAAATATAAAATAGTGACTAAAAAGGGGTAATAAAGTTTAGTTGTTCTGGTTCAATATTTTGAGCATTTTTAATGGAAATTTAATAATATTTTTCGGTCGGAGTTGTTTAAAAAAAAAGAGGTTTTAATTCTTTTTTTATAATGAAGGAATAATTCGATAAATACTATTAATTATATTGCTAACATTGTAAATATTAGCGTAACAGAAAAATGGAAGGTTGATTATTAATTGCAATATCGATCGACGGATATCTATGCTGCTTTTATTCGAAAAACTGCAGTCGAGTGGCGTTCGTTATCGGGAAATAGCAGAAAAAGTATCTGCAAATAGCCTACATGGTTTGGCGGATAAAAAGATGAATACAATGAAACTCCGATTATTCGATTTAATTGGATAATCATGTCCTGTTCGAACAATCAATTTTTCCAGACGATAGGATCGCATTTCAACGTGAAGAATAATTGTCTGTTATATAATACAACGGAATATGGAGAGATTGGAGAAAACGAGTATAGTTAAAAATTTATACATCTGATACTTTATTAGTTAAAATTGGAGGAAATATCTATTATTTTTTCTTTTCTTTTCTTTTAGAAATTTTTTTTTTATATTTAGTAGCAAGACTTTAATCATAAAGTTTCTGTTCCTTTCTTTATTAATTACCACTTATGAGTTCATTACGTTCTATTCGAGTAAACTATGTTTAAGATTAACCAAGTTACTCAGGTATGAAAATGGGGAAACTCGACCCTCTGCTGCTTATTGACACGAAATTGATGCGCGTTCTTCACACTTCAGCGAAGGGAATAATAAACCTAGATGCAGTACCGAGCAATTTGGCAAGGGTTGCTTCGTTTTCTGCATTTTTCAAGTAGGCACACGTCAAATCCATGAAGCGTAAAAAGTAGGTTGACTTTATAATTTTTTTGCAAATAGAAAAAGGTAATGTACAGTACCGAGCATGGTAGGTTTTCCTAGGCCTTAGGGAAAATAGGGACAAAACAAGATTCTACCACTCAAAAATTCAATTTTGAAGCTATTCGTAGTATTAATATTAATTTAGCAAAAAATTAATATCAGCAATGACTCCTGGGTCAATTGTGACCCAGACCTATGAAACATGCGATGAAATCTAAAATTTAGAAAATAAAAATAAGATAGAATTATTTCTTCCAAGGGTTAAAAGTGATTGTCAAAAAAAAATAAGGTACCCCTAATATTTTCTTGATTTACTATACCATTTTCTCAAATTTAATCAACAGCAAAATGGGAACGTCCCAGAGAACAATATATTTAGAATACAATTTTGTCTGTCGCGTTTATAGATACATTATAGAAGGAACAGAGAAAAAAAAGTACGTATGGCATTTGCCGTGAGAACGTAGCTGTTTCATAGTCTCGCCATGAGCCACACCACCCTTGGGCGCATCGTAAACTGTTCGGGACATTCTCACTGTCGGTTCCTTTTATTCATCCTCCTTCCTTTTCTTTTTCTATCTTTATTCCTGGCGCCTCCGCTGTTTCGAATGATTCAGGATTGAAACTCGTCGCACAGGTATACAGGGATTCTTGTTCCTCGCGACATTAAGAGACGTATACGTATATTTATCGGACAGTGGTCAGCGAAAACAGCTACTTGCAAATGGGTTCGATTAGTCGTTTTTTTCTTTGGGAATCGTTTAATTAAAACACCGACAGAGATTAGTTTCTTGGTAACTGTAACGTTTATGTTACCTGGGATAAATTATTCTTTCGAGATAAATAAGGAGTGCGAGGTAATGGAGTAGTAGATAAATTGTAATGAGAATTTTTTTACGAATTAAAGAAATTTTTTGGAAGAAATGGTCTTAAATGGTATTAAATGGATTAAGGGGTGGTCTAAGGAGGGCTACATCCCTGGGCATCGTTATAAGTCTTCCATTTTAAAATCCATTATTTGCAACAATTGAATAACTCATTAAAGTACTTAGAAACAGTTTATATTGTACAACAGCGTACCAGTTTGTAACACGGTGCTGTCATTTAATTATAATGATGAAGTAATGTTTGGACGGTGTTATCAAAATAATTACGAAAACTTGCTTATCACTGATAAATTTGTATCCCCCCCACGGAATGCAATTTGTCGCGTTATTGCCTGTTCGTTTTTCTCTAATCGTGTTATTTTGAAAAAAGTTCACATGCTATCGAGAAGTCTTCTTCTTTTCTCGAGGCTGTGAAACGTTCCATAAAACCGGTAAAGAATCGTAAAGTTTCCTGTCAGGAGAGACACGCCATCAGGCTGTCCTCTCCTTTTTCCATTTCTTTCTTTCTCGGCTCCTTTTGTATTCGCTATTAGGAGTGCCTTGACCGACCTAGGTAACGCCACACAGAAAGTGTCCAGGTATAGCCAAGAAAAACCTGCTGTTTCCCTGTCACGATTCTTCATGATTCATCGTCCACGGTTAGTTGTTCGATTCCTTCAAGGACCAAAAGGATGCTTTTGCAACATTCGCTTACGTGTTTGTCGTTTTTGGTTTATATGCGAATGATTCGTCAGCATGGACAGGCCAGATTTAGGGGGAGGTCTATTCTAAAATTTTGAAATTCCAAAATTCTAGGATTTTAAGATTCTCGGTTTCTCAAATTACAAAATTTCCAAATTTTGAAATTTCCAAATTCTTAAAGTTTCTAAGTCTTAAATTCTGAAATTCTCAAATTCCAAGATTCTGAAATTCCCGAATTCTCAGTCTCCAATTTTCAAATTCCACGATTCTGAAATTCCCAAATTCTCAAAGTCTCAAATTTCCAAATTTCCAAATTCTTAAATTCTAAGAATCTAAGATGCAAATTAAACACTTGACATGGTTAATAATACTAAGGTATTTAGTCCATCCCAAAAAAAAATCTTAGGCCAATCAGCGTGGCGAAAATCTGTCCTTTAGTAAACAACTGTCGTCGAATGGTAAGGGTGCACGTACGTTTGCAGTAAGGACGATGGGTGGCGAATGGAAAGAAGTAGATGCAAAGTGGAATGAGGCTAAAAGGACCTATTGAAACGAGCCAGGACCTCTTGAGGATCCCGTTAGCCTCGTTCTATTTGTCCGTCCATGACCCTTGCGACATAGATACGAGCCAGTCTATCGTACTTTATCGAGCAATCGTCATTCTACCGTAATTGTACGAGGCGAAGAAGACGCGGAATCTCCTTTTCGTGTTTTCGTGTCACGCTAAATTGGCCCGTTCAAGAGAACGTCGAGCCATTATTGAAATGATTTTTCAACAGGAATTCGTCGATTCACGTTTTATTACCAGCTATCTACTTGCGCCTTCCTTGAAATTAAGGAATTTCATTTGCCTCCACGAAACGACCTGATAGTTGATCTGAGATCTCATGCTATTTTGCAGATGAATAATTTTACGATTCTCTTTTTTTAATTTTCGATTGGAAGTATAATCTGTTTTCTAGTTTGACAAATAGAAAGTTAACAGGTTTAATTCTGTGAAGGTCACTTGGCAATTTAGATAGAAAAAAATATTATTTCATTTTGCAATAATAGAAGTTTACTTTTATACATTTTGAAGTAATAGCGTACGAGGGTCGCCGAAATTCTCCAAAAATCTTTTTAGTTATTTTTCTGCATAATTTCGTAGCTGACGTAAAATGTTAATTTTGTTCCAGCAACTTGTTCTGGTTTGTGCTGCAATCGGGAGACCGAAGAGCAATTAAGACATCAGGCCAGAGCAGATTTTCACGATTTGATCCATCATCATAGTAGAAGTCTGCAAGGTCTTCTGGCAACAACGGCGGACGCATTAAGAGGTATGTGATATATTTCTTAATCATTTGCAATTTTCAAACCAGTGGAAACTGCAGTATTTTTAAATATTATGTAATATTATTTTAAAAATGATACTTACAAGCCTGTGTTAGGAAAAAGTTATTGAGAAAAAGGGTAGCTATTTACGAGGGTAAATGTACGAAATGGCGTACATTATGTATTTATAGCGTTCAAAAGTTATATCAACTTTCTGGGGCACCAAACATTAGCATTTTCAGCATGTTTGATAGATTATTTCAAGTCAAACAGATCATGTATTTACACTATGAATCTTGATTCATTCATTATTGATTTATTGAAAGGAAAAAATTCTGTACACGCGTATTGCAGTGAAGCATCGTAATGCTCTTGTATTATTCAATGATTTATTATTTGAAACTATTATGGAGTAATGGTTATTATCTTGAGTTTGATTTAATTGGCTTATTACATCAGCCGTAACATTTCTTCTTCTACTTTTTTATCGAAAAGTTATCAATTATATCTCAAGATTTATTACCATAATTGTCATAGATTTAAATATACATATCATTTTGATCAAACCAAAGAGAATCGTCTACTTAATTCTCATATGGAAAAGACAGCTTTTGTTTAAATATTTTAACGATTTTAGTCATTTCGTTTTTGATCCTTATTAAAGGGTGCAGTCATATACGTTCTTAACCGTTTATTGTGTTTTGTACAAATTTTGTTATGAAATTCTTCTTTTTTAATTATAAATTTCATTTTATATAATGGTGCAAATTGTCAATATTATATAATTTTCCTTTAAACACAGAAAATTACTGTTTACATGATAAATAAAATTCCTTTGATGATAAATGGAAAATTTTCCAATATTGAACAAAGAATATGCAATCGGTAATAAAAATTATATCAAATATCTCAAATATGTAAATATGAAAAAGAGGCATTTAAATTAGCTTTAATTTATTCATTTATTCTTGTTCTCTTTTTTTTAATAAAATGAATTTATATTACTTTCAAAAATAATGACTCATATATCAGTTAAGAAGGAGAGTCATAATCAGGAAGTTGGCCTAAACGACTTGTTCCTTTTGATTAGGAGTAAAGGAAAGAGCGGAGTAACGACAGATCGTCTGAATAGGGCATTTCGTAGCCTCGTCGAGAGCTCCAGAAATGGGATTGAGCGAAACAGTTTCTTAAATTGGCAAAACCAAGCCGAGGTTACTATTTTTACGTGCCAACTGGAACGTGCCTTCCCTCTCACTCTCTATTTCCCTCAGCAGTTCCCTTCATTTTATCTTCTCTCGTTGCTTGCTTTTTGTTTTCCATGGGGACACAGCATTTGATCACGACTTTCGATAAGTACTATGGTTCGTGAATTATACCGAACTTGTTCCCTCTGGAGCTTTTCTCCTTTAAAGCTATTCACCAAGAATTTTTCTCTTTCTTTACCATTCCAACCATACTTACGCTCTAGGAGGATTTCAATTGTGGAAAATACAATGGGAACAAGAAACAGTCTAATTTCTTTTATAAAAAGTCCTTCATTACCAAGGGATTATTTTTATTCTTATAGGCAATATCGAATTTATTAGCAAAATGTTTAGTTTATTTATAATAAATTATATTTGAACATATGACAGTTGTAGAAAAAGAAGCATAAAGAAAATAGCAATATAGGGAAATTTTGATGATATTAATATTAAAAGAAATTAGAAACTAAATAATGTAATTTTTCAGCATTTATATTACTTATAGGGTTTAGTACATAACTGAAAAGTATGAATAACAAAATTAATATTAATTCAAATTCACCCGCGTAAAAGTTTATACGCAAGTGGTGGGGGTTACAGACCTATATATAGGGGACCTCCTCCCTTGCATGGTCATTCTCCTCGAGAATGCCTAAGGGGAAGGTTGGGAACTAGGGATATCACCATTTGCCCTGGGGAAACCTGATTTGATGGCGATTGTACTTTTGATATCATTTAGGAAATGTGTTTTGATTTATTTAATTTCTTCGAAAAATGAAATCATATAATAGATTCGATGAAGTTTAAGGGATTACTTTGTTCCCTCTGGGTAAATTGCAGGCGATAAAGAAATCGTTCTATGGATAATTCGATGCATTCTATAATCTCATAAAATCTCATTAATGTCGGAAGTTCAGGGGTGGAAGGATTTTTCTGTAACTAGTAAATCGATTAATTTTTATTTTCTTCAAAATTTTAAGCTTCAAATTGATTTGTCATAGGTGCTGTATTTCAGAATTTGTTATTTAATATGTAATAATTTATCATTAATTCTTTGCACTAGTTTTTGAAATGGAATAATTTCTATATAGTTCTTCACGTATAAAAATTAGGAAATGATTAACCCTTTCGATTAATTTTAATATTAACTTATAATTTTATAACGATACGTTTATAGCCAATTTTCGTGTAACATTTTTTTTTTTTTTTCTTATTTTCACGAACCGTAGAAAATCCCGTACTTTGTCAGGAAAAATCCGTGAAACCTTGTAGACAATTTCCGTTAGAAAGGCAACACCCTCTAGACATTGTAAGGTAACATCGGTGGTGGTTTTTCCGCCCCTTTCTTCCTATTTCTCTTTCTGCCCGGGGCTCCCTAGTTCCACTCTTCTATTTTGTCTTCTTTCCGGACACGTTCAGCTCGCTTTGCAGCTTTCCAAGTTTTTACTTTCTCCATCCCTCTCGTCGGTTTTTACCCTTCTCTCGCTTTTTATCCTTATTTGCTATCTTTTCTCCGCTGATGTTCGATTCGTTCTCTTATATGACGTAAAAATGGCAGAAGTCTCTTCTGCTTGAATTTCATCGAACGATCTCCAGTAAACGCGCCCGTTGCTGAAGTAAAGTTAAATTCGTAAGTACGAATCGAAGAGAAAACCACGGTGGAATAAGAAATGTCGGCACGAAGCTAGTTGAGAGTTGCGTGTATGCTTCGCTTTCAATAAAGTTCCGAAATTGGATAGAAATAATAGTTGCGAATTTTTTCCCTGGAATATAACAGAAATATCGACCATCTATTGAATACTGAGCGATATTGAGAGAAACTCGAATACAAATCTTTTACATTAGGTATCTTATTTGATTCGTGAGTTATTCATGATACTACAAAGATAATTTCCTGGAATTTTCTAGGTATTAAGAGATCATTCAGAAAGATTTATAATTTCAGCAATTAATACATTAATATCAGTTTTTGTAAATATTGAGAATTATTTTTTCTTTCCTACATTTTTCATATATTTTGTAGAGACTTAACAGTATAAAATTAAGTTTATCGTTACTATTCATTTTATCATAATTTTATTTGCTACCACGAAGTTGAAAGAAAAATAATTTTTAACATTTATTATATAACCAATTAAAAACAATTAAGTACAGATTAAATGATCATGATTATCTTTCTTTGATTCAAGAGTTACTAATTAACACAAAAAATGAAGTGATACTTTAATGAATTATACAATGAAATTAAGAAACACTTCATTAAAACAGAGAAAAAATTAAAACAGTGAAAAACGAGGTATAGGGAATAACCTGAAAATAGTCGGTATCTAATCCTGGCAAAGTTCTTCCGTAGGTCTCTCTCTTGTCGTTCCGTCGTAAGAATAGAAAAGCTTTGGACACCAAAGACGATCTATTTAGATTCGTTCGTTAATAAATTGTATATTTTAACATCAGTAATTCATCCATCTAATTATACATTTTAATTTCTTTGATTTAAAGAACATCTTTAAAAAATGATTCAAATACTCTTATCAAGATAAGGGATTATTTATTGATTTTTCTATTTTATTTTTTATTTAATAATAGACAGGATTACGTCGATACAATGATTAATTCTTTTTCTAAAAACGCAAGAAATATAATATACATAATGCATTTTTTTACCCTCGGACGGTAGACCAAGTCTGAAATGTTGAGGTGCAAATGAAATTGTATAAACGTCCTAATATTTCTCGACGGATTGGTGTATATTCGATCGGTCCGTGGAATCGATAAATGAACGCATCCTGTGGTCGGAACGGCAGCGACCTGTCGATTGCACCTGGTCCAGACAACGGAACGTGGTCGCACGTACACCAGTTTGGCGGTGCAACGTAGCATATCTGGTCCTGTTTGATGTCCAGGACCAGGTTCCACGGTCCGGATCGGTCGGGTTAACGGCGAAGGAGGAAAGGGGAAGAGAGGAGGCCGAGAGAGCTCGCTTTCTCGCGTCCGTATAAGGCTGTGCGTGCATTGCGAGTCGCAATGCAGCTCGACGCCGATGCTCTCTCACTCTGGAAAGTGCAGCCCGCACGAAACCTCCGGGCCACGAATTCGAAACTGGCCAGCCCATTCGAGCCACGAAATGTGCTAGCGGTAATTATCACGTGAAGAAGGTTATTTTCAACCTGCACCACCGGTGTGTTTCGTCGTTGCAACCTGGATGCATCGTCGATTCGATGATACCTTGTTAGGTGCTATTAAATTAATGCAACTATAGAACTTTGCCGTTTCCACGTGAACATGCTTTGTCGAACTGTGCTTTAATTTTGATATACGTGGTTGCTCTGTTAATTTATCGGTGTCCTCTGTGGTATCGAGGTATTGCATTAACTTTTGCTCTTTGGGGGATTCTAATGCAAAATGTGGATTATAGAGAAATATTTATATTTAATTTACAATATTTAGAATATTTCAGTGCAGTGATCTACAAAAAATTCATAGACCATTGACTTAATTAGGAATTTTAATAATTTTTCAAATGTAAGTTAACTGTTTCATCCTATTAATGTAATAGTAATGTTCTGCAAAATTTTCGATTGTATAGCATTCAATGAGTCTCGTACTTGCAAGGATGTCTTTTGTCGTACTGTTCGTTAACTTTGATGAACGTGGAAACTCCGCTAACGTGTTTGCCGTTTCGGAAGATTTACTTCTTGCCAGCATTGAAATGTTATCAACTGGTTAACGTTGTTATGCACGAGTTGTTGGAGGAGAGTTGT